CACACACACATCTCTCTTCTTTCTCTCTCTAGAAAACTCTCTCTACCTTCTCTCTAATTTCTTTTCTCCAAACACCACAACCACAGCCTCTTAACCATGAAATTATGGAGATTCATGAGGGTTTTTCAAGCTACAAATAAATTTAAGGTAAAGAACATACATCTCTTGAAGATCCACAACAATGATTTAAGGTATACATGTGCATTTTACTTCAAAAACCGACTTCTACTTCATCATCTTCTTCAAACTTGTTTTATTTTTGTTAAAATGGTTTTTAGAACATCATGGATGTGTTCTAACACCATGCATGTATGATAAACAAGGTTGCATGTTCATGATCTTAGTGTAAAAATCGATTTTAAGGACTAAAACATCAAACTCAAGTTAAGAGTTTTTGAGAAATAAAATTTTGTTCATAAATGCATGTATTTTGATAAGTTTTAATCTTTTGATCTTTGGAAACATGACTAAAATATGAATTTATCATGATATATTTAAATTATTTCAAAATATTTACTCAAGGAAATGATGAAAACTCACTTTTCTAACCAATCATCATGCATGCAATCTGCCAGATTTTTTTACCTGACTTTAAACTGTCATATCTCACTCATTTCTTAACCAAAATTCGTGATTCTTTTTCTGAAATATAATATTTTGAGTTAAATTTCAAACCCAATTGGTCTCACTGTAAAATATTAAATATCCGATTTTTGGCAAGTTTTACAAAATGGTTGCGCAAACAGCTCTTTTTCTGTGATCACCATTTTTGCCTTGTATGATCAATGGCCTTAAACCCAACCATAAATCCGGGGAAAAATACTTTAGAAAATTAACATATCCAGTGAATGATGGCTGAAATTTCGTGCCTTAAAACCCCACTGAATGGGCTATACAAATTCATGAACTTCAGCCACATTTACATCTCATGCACCATTGCATGCAACATTTCTTAACTTGTTTGGGTTCGATACCCCTATTTCCCTTTTGAATAAATTTTGAACATTTTTCCTTTTGAATGCCCTCACATGCATGTGATAAGCTGTAAAATACCAAAAGCTTTTATTATTTATTTGATTTATTAAAATTATTGCTAGAAACCAAGGGCATAAATCACATAAAATACTTCCAGAGGTCAATAAATCCGGAATACATTCATGGATGACCCTTATGGTGAATAATGACCCCTCACTAAATTTCATCAATTCTTGTTGCTGTTTGGTATGATTTCCGATTTTCTTTTTGTTTGGGTATAATAAATCACAAAACCACTTTAGGGAGTGTGAAAATATTATTTCTTATTTTTCGCAGCTTTTACCCTGTATTTAAGACTCATAAAAGTATTTTGGGAATTTTTCAAAATGTATATCTATTTTTCCATGATTTTTGTGTCTATAATGGATTAAAAACAGCAAAAATAGTTTTACACATCCAAAATTCATGAAATTTTACCAGAACACCATGTTATATAGTAGGAGGTTACATAAGAACTTTTGATGATTTTTCTCTACTATATACTATTTTTCTCCTATTTTCTAAGGTTAAATACACTTAAATACACATAAATACCCAAAACCAGATTATACAATATGAAAACCACTTTTGGTATTTTTCCCAGATTACTTACACTGTAAATGATGTTACAAAAATTTTTGGTAATTTATTTTAACTGTTAATTATTTATTCTTCAATTAATGATTATTTAAGAAGATAAAACAAGGAAAAATATAAATACCTACTGAAAAATATCTTTTATATTTTTCCCAGCCTATTTATGTATAATAAAAGTCAAATAAAAAGTATGGGTAATTTTGGAAACTATTTTCTATTTATTTCAATTTTTATTGGAATAAATGCTCAAAAATCATAAAATATAATTAATCATCTTGGAAATCTATTTTTATATTTTTTCCAGCTTAGTAATGTTTAATAACAGTAATATAAAAAGTTTGGGGAATTTTCTTAACTCATTACTATTTTTCATGAATTTATGGTTATTCATGAATCTAAAATGGTGGAAAATAGTTAGACAAATCAAAAATTCAAGAAAATTTAGCTTGAGGTCTTTGACTTCAATAAAACTGAAATGCAAAGTTTGGGATATTTTAGAACTAAATTGATTTAGTTTTGAATATTTAATCATTGAAACGCCTCTTAAAATGTTAAATATTAACATTTCAATAGTGAGAAATTACACTTAAATTGTTATATAACAATTGATTCATTCGAATTTAATTTTAACAGAAAAATGTTTATAACTTATCAATATTAAGTTTTGGCACACTATTGGCATAATTCTATTGTACTAGTAAGTATACTAGTGTTACATTTCGATTAGAGACTCACTAGCGAATATCATTATTGTAGGAATCGATAGTGGTACAAGTGGAGCATAGTCAAGGCACCATTTGCATCATCTCAATGCATATTGTGAGTATTCATGCACTCCCCTATTTTCTGTTTTTATGTTTTGGGGTGGAAAAGCATGTCCTAAACTATTTATATCCGTTGTATTTATTTAACTCGTATAAACTTGATTGCTATATATAGCATATTGTGAGTATTCACCAATCCCCTGTTTTATGTTTTTAAATGTTTTGGGGTGGAAAAGAATGTCCTAAACTATTTATATCCGTTGTATTTATTTAACTCGTATAAACTTGGTTGCTATATTTAGCATATTGTGAGTATTCACGTACTCCCCTATTTTCGGTTTTATGTTTTAGGGTGGAAAAGCATGTCCTAAACTTTTATGTTCGTTGTATTTATTTTGACTTGTATGAAACTTGGTTGCTATATTTGGTATGTATGTGTATGTTACTTTAATTCATGAGGACAGTATCGCGGTTAAGTCCCTGCAATCTCTAGACACAACTCATTAACTCTTTTGAGCCTATGGTTATTATGGATAGCGCTATCAGGAGGTAGACAACTCCTCACTCGCACGATTCTCTTGAGTGCATTTGACCATTTTATACACTATGTTTGCGATACACATAGTAGTCAATAGGGCACGATTCGGTCATTAGGCTTGGGTTGTGAACTCATGAATGGAAACTTGATGCACATACTATTCTTTATGCACATACGAAACTTGTATTCCCATGTTAGCAACGACACTTGTATACTTATTTTAGCAATGAAACTTGAATACTTATTTTAGCAATGAAACTCGTTACTCATTATAGCAACAAACTTGTTTATTAACTATAGCAATGAACTTTGTTTCTCATTACAACAACGAACTTTTATTACTGAAAACTTATATACATGTTTTAGCAATGAAATTGTTTGCTCACTGTAGCAACGAAATTGATTGCTCATTTTAGCAATGAAACTTGTTTACTCATTTGAGTAACGAACTTTATCTTTCATGAGAATATGTATGTTGCATCTTATTCGGGAAACATACTTTATTTCTCATGATGACAACGAATTGTTTTTACAAACTTATTTACTCCTTTTAGCAATATACTTTTATTATTGGAAACTTTTATCAAAACCTTGATTTCAACCCATATAACCAAGATTATTTTGTTTATTTGTGAGTACTCACCAACTATTTTTATAGTTGACGCTCGTTTTACATGCTTTTTCAGGAATTATCGAGTAAGTGGCACTTAGGGACACTTCACTTTTAGGAGCATTCGCATGTGTTGTATTTCTATTTTCATTGTAATTTCTTGTAAAAGTTGTTCAAACCCATTCACTACAAGAAAAAGACCCTTTTACGACGTGCAAAACACGACGCTCTTTGATTTATGTTACGCATTAGAGAGCGACATTAAAAAAGTGTCATCTCTTCAATAATTTTAAGGATTTAGGTCACGTATTACCAAGTGCCCTTAAATTAGTGTCTCATGTAAAAATATTAAAAACACGAAAGACGCTTGTGCGTCGTCTGTGAATGTCGCTTTATATTTTTTTTAAGAAACGCGCGTCTCGGAGGGAAAATGAAATCCCTAAATTTTTTAAACCCCCACCTTCTTCTCCCTCGTCTCCACCTCTCATTTCCTCTACTAGCCTCAAATTATGGATCAATTGCTTCACATCATGTTTAAGGTTAAGGGTTTGAGATTTCTTCCAAATCGACCCTCACACTAAAATTATGGATCAATTTTTTAAACCCCCACCTTCTTATCCCTTGTCTCCAGAAACACACCATCATCGAATCTTCAGACCATCACTATTCTCGCCTCCATCGTCGCCAGTGAGAATGATCTACTTGGACCCTGAAAAAGAGAGCAACGAAGGGGAAGATGTGGTGGTGCTCTTGTGTCTGATTGATTTCAGCCCCTTTGCGACCACACATGGTTCCCATCAAAAATTATGTTGCCCTCACCATCTCTTATATCAAATACCTATTACACCTCCTTCATCAATTCATCAGTTTTCTTCCCCATCGGCTAACGGTTCTACTGTATCGATGCTTTCTCGACGTACTGGTTACTAACACTGGTGGTAGAAGAAGACGGTGGATCGGCGGTACCATACCAAGCGCCTATACAGGTAAAATCCAACTCTCTCGATTTCTGCCTTTTTTTCAGTAAAAACCGATTAATTTGTGGTTAGTTAGGGTTTTTCCCATAGTTTCAAATTCGATCAGATGGCTACAAACCCCGTACCAAATGGATTCGTACCTAATCGGGGTACGAAAGCATTCCAAACGATTCCCGGATTGTAAATCGGTACGGAGTCGAGATAGTTCCAAATCGGTACCTGGAACGAGTTTATTTCTGCAATCCAGTAGTTTCAAAACGCAATTATGGGTTCAATTTATGAAATTAGTATGCCGATTTCTGATTTTTAGTATTACATTCATCATAAAATTGTAGTTAGGGCAATGGCATTGAACGTGGGCATGCTTGCTTCCTATGATCAAAGTGTTGAGTTCTTCAAAGACAATCTTGGTTTTGTGAAGCAGCTACAATTGTAGGTAAGATCAAATCACAAAACCATAAAACCATAAAACTGTAATAAAACTACTAAAACAGAACTGAATGAAAGGGGCATCTGTTCAGGAAAAGGATAGCATTTGGGAACGCTGGATAAGGAAGCAGAAGCAAGGGGAATCCAATAGTACGTGTAGTCTAGAGTGAACATTATTTTACTTCAAAATTATTATTATGTTTATACCATCTAAAAATGAAATATTCATAATCATATCTAAGGATGTATTTCACAGAGAGGTCTACAAATGACAACTTGAGAAAAGAAAGCTTTGATGGAAGTAGGAAAGATATTAATGCAGCCATTGACCGGATTTGTGAGTTCACAGGTGAGAACATTTTTCAAAATCTGTCATATCATGGTCAGGTATTAGTTATATCCAAGATCTGAGTTTAACTTTCTTCCATGATAATTTTTAACATTTTACTGGAACTAAGATAATTTTATGGGATCTAAGGGAGCCATTCATTGAAAACGTATATAGACCTAGTGTTTCAGAGTCCAGGTTGGAAACAACACTCATTGAGCCTCTTGATGTGGTATGTCTATCATCTAATAAACACTTTTTTTAAAATTATTATTAGATAATAATAAATGTTTAATGTGTTTACAGGAACCAAATCAACTATGTGATATCATTGTGGAGCCACTAAGAGATCGAATTGTAAGAATCTCTATCATCTCCTAGAATCGGACACTGAACCAACATTGGATGTTTTGAGATGTGCATTTATCGATCCAACACCAAAGAATTCTAGATCTCAAAGTCAAGATCTGTCCTAAAGACTATATATGTTCTTGTTATTGTTATCAAAACAGGAAAAGTTATTAGAACATGGCCTTCAAAGGATGATACAGGTCGTATAGTTGAGTTTATTTCTATTTTTATGGCCTGTGGAGAGGCTAAAATCTCAAAGGAATTAGTAGGTCATATATTCGATTATTTGACATTAGATGCTGCATTCCGCTAAATATTGAAAGCAAAAATAATGATATTAGTAAAAAAAGAGAAAAATAGGTTCTAGCACTTTTGGAAGTTTTCCCAGAGATAGATTTGGATGATAGATAGCTATAATACATGTGTGAAAAAGCTCATTATTACCAGGTTCTAACCATTCCCTCTCTCTCTCTCTCTCACACACACACACATACAAAGGAATGCAATATGTGACTAACAGTTGAGTTCATGTATTAATTATAGGTTTGTGGCTTCATTCATAACAGCAAACACCAATATATAGCTGTTATTGATAGCTTTATGAAATATGTGGATGAGCCAATTCATGCTTTCTCTATCAATGATTCTTCTTCCACTGTTCAAGTCGCTCCTTCAGTTCTTGAAAATATGTTTTTGAATCAGTCACTATATAGTTAAAGTTTTCGTTTTCTTGTGTTTCTACTAAATTTCATATGTTGTGTGTATCAGAATCTTCCAAATGATTTCAAATAAGCTTCTTGTTGTGCCCTCTCCAATTGGTGGAGTTCTTGTAGTCTGTGCAAATACTATTCATTATCATAGCCAGTCAGCATCATGCATATTGGCTTTGAATAATTATGTTGTTCCAGGTAAACGTTTATGATTTTGACAATTTTCATGTGTGAAATTACATTTTTTGTTATTGATGGCAACTTTTCTGTAATCAAATATAGAGTAAATAGATATGGTTATAAGAGTTTTTCAAATTCTTTTAATCAAATATAGAGTAAATTACATGTTTTTCCCCTTTGTTGTGGAAGTAAGAGTTGAAGGATTTTGTTCCAGTCGCCATTGATGCTCTGGAAGAGGTGATTAATCATTAATTGGATCTTGAATCTTGATAGATTGTTCAATAGATGTTTATAGGTGAATATTGATGGTTTCACTTTGCCGCAGTTTCGATTTTTGGTTCCACCTCAGCAAGGGCAATTTCATCCACGGGGACAATGCATGCCCCCTGGTCAAAGTCAGCCAACACAGTTTTCTCAGCCACATTAGCAAATGTCTCCACTAACCTAGTATTCTTGCAACTGCATTCTGGACAATGACATGCTTTCTTCACTTTACATTCATCAACATTTGTGTTCAATAATTCATCTTAATTACCAAATTACCCTTCTAAAACCCTTCCACCATTTCATTATTTCAAAAATATAAAATTTATTTACCTTCACAAGTTTTCACATCATCGCCTTTAAACCCCGAAGGACATGCACATTTCCCTTTTTCATTATCATGTTACAAGAATCCATGATTCCATTCCATACTTTTGTGATTCCATTCCATCATATTCATATTTAGTGATGTGTAAGTGCTTTGATTTCCAGTTTTTTCTAAAGTTTGGTGTTATTTTAGTATTTCATCTTCTTGATAAGTGGACTAGGTGATCGATTGTCTTTGTTCTAACAATTTGTTTATATATTTTTTTAGCTTCTTGGTAGGATGCACTTGATCACATCTAAGCTTGGATAGTTCTCCCCAATCTTTTTTTGGATTTTAAGGGTAACAACATATTCTTGCTTCTTTACAATTACCTTTCGTTATTTTTTCTTTATCTTACAACTTATTTTTTCTCCTTTAGACTATGAAGTATTTCAACAATTAGTAATTTGAAGCTGATGAGCATGATAAGTATTTAAAGAGTAAGTAGTTTTTATGTTACTCTCCTCACACAAATTTATTTATGTGAAAAGGGTAAAAAAATAAGTTTTATAATGTTTACCTCAGGGTATGAAGATGCTGCCTTGAAGACACAATGTAGTGCATGATTTGGGAGGTACCCAACTTGCATTTTTTTTTATAAATATCTTGTGCTGTAAACTTCTGATAATGACAATGACCCTTAACTTTGTTTTTAGGTTTTGCTTGAGCCGATTGAAATGACATGTGATCCAACCTATCTTGTTAATTTTGTGGAGTTATATACTGTGTTGGCTTCCTTTCAATCTCATGAAGGAAGGGTGAGTGTTATTCTAGTTTACATGTTTTGAAGTACTTGCATGATTTTTTAAGTGTTACATGTCTCAAAGTAGATGTATTCTTTAGCTGTAGATATTGAATTCATTATTCCATTAATATGAAACGCAACTAATAGATTCTATATGATTAACTTATGAGGTTTTTGAGAAACTGATTTCATGTTACAGGTCCTAAACTCGCTTAATGGGATAAAAGACATGAAGTCACGTCTAACATCGAAAGCCGAGTATGTCTTCTCCTATGATCTTACTGCTGGAATAATATTATTTCCTTTAGGGTCTAGAAATGGGATTAATAGCAAGCAACATTGTATTTAAACTACACATATGTATTTTCTCTTGTTTTGTTTTGTAGATACATGTTGTCAGGTCGGAAGAGAATGATGTGGGATATTAGTTTAATAAACATCAAGATAATTATTCACTAAGAGAATGGGAAGTCAGAGATACATAAATTGGTATTGATTTCTTTTTAAATTGTCATACGAGGTTCACATTATTATTATTTGTATTTGTATTAACTTCAAACCTTAACATACACAGGTACTTGGATTAATAGTTGTCACCTTTTCATCCAATCATGATGTTAGCTGTTTTGCACCAGATATCAACGTACCTTCTCAATTCATGAGGAATTTAATAGATGACAACTCTTCAAGTGAGCTTCTAGAAGGAACTCAAATTCAAGATTTGTATGATCTCTTGGAAATTAAACTAGTCGACTTCCAGGTCACCTGTCAGCATTGTCTCTCTCATTTTCACTCAACATCTCACATTTCACATAACTGACTGACTAATGTGTGACTTCCTGCAGATAAACTTGTTTGTGCCATTCTATCCTACTTATTATTTTCCTATTCTGGAAAACCTCAATGCTTCTTCTGCTTTAGCATTATGCATTGTTCAGGATGAATCATTATTGAAAGCAATGGAGGTAGGTATTTTTACATTATCCTACTAAAAGTTCAAAATTTTCACACACCTGTCACCATTAATAATAATAATTGGTTTCAATGAATCTCAATATCAATGTTACATAATCCTTGATTGAGGTTACTTTCAGAACACTTGTAATGGTTTCTAGCTATTTTCTCTAAAAAGATTCTATTTTGATGACAGGTCATACTCACAAATGCAACAACAATGTCATTTGAAGTCAGATTCGATATCCCATTTGGTGTATCTCCCAAGATTCTGGACCCTGTATATCTAGGACACAAGTTTCCTCTTCCTCTACATTTAGCAGAATCAGGTCGGATAAGATGGCGTCCATTAGGGAACACTTACTGGAATATTATTTCCTATAGGGTCTAGAAATGGGATTATTACTAATAACAATAGATAATTACTTTGCTCTTCATGGGATTTTCAGGTATTATGTTACTTGGCTTCACTATTTCCAAAAAACATAAACTTGTTTTGGTAAGATGAGGTACCAATGCCCCCGGAGTTCTGGCACCTTCCTCCATCTTTACTTCCTATGTATCCAGGTTAATCTACTCGTATTAATTCATGTCTCAAAGTGTGTATTCCAATATCAGGTATCATGATTTGTTTATTTACAAAATTTTGAAATAGGGTCTTGTTCAATGCTTTAGCTGTGTTTGCTCTAAGGGAGATCAACTTATCAAAAGTAAGTTATTTTTTTCACCCTTTTATTTAATATTTTTGTGTTTGAATGAAAGTATTAATGAAAGTAATTGACAACCCTTTTTCTGTAAATGATGTTGTGATTGTGGGAGAAGTGTTGTGTTTTTCTCTATTGCTAGGTAACCTTCTCAACAACAACATTCAACTTAAGTAGCTAGGTGAGTAATCAAGATTAAGGGAGACTTGTAATCATGTTTGGCATTCCTTTCCA